CTATAGTCCATCTAATCGCTGTTTTGTTCTTCTTAAGTATTATAAGCAGTTTCTATTCATCCGCTTCACTGACTGTGTTCGAGATAATGAATGGGAGTGTACATAACTTCTCAAAGTAGGCATCTATGAGATGTGATGGAAATTGCTTGAGTTCCAATGTAGGTGGCTACTGTACGGATGGTAGTGCCTTTGTAGGTCCTGTTCCAAGCTCCTCAAAGTGCCTTTTGCGTGTATATAGTGAGTTAGTCTCCAAAAACCTGGCACATGTCCCAATCTCTAGAAAATCTGATGTGTTCATTGAGAGTGTGCAATGCAAGCCTTGTAAGCATCTAATGGGTTGTGCAATAGAAGTCTTTCCCGAACCACCTTTTCAATCACATCAATCTGGAAATAGCTATCTAATTCTGTGGGTAATGTCATAGCCTTGAAAATATTAAAAGAAATATGCTCTTCCCCAAGTCTCAGAATTAACAACCCTTTCTGAACGTCAATTAGAGCTCTACCCGTGGCCAAGAATGGTCTGTCCAGTATCAATGAAATATCCTTGTCTTCTTCCATATCTAAAATGAGAAAATTGATGGGAACGATGAATTTCTCCACTTTGATAAGCACGTCCTATATTATCCCTCTTGGGTATATCAAAGACTTGTCAGCTAATTGCAGTGTCACAGTGGTCTCTCCCAATCCAAGTTTCCTAAAGACAGAGGCATTAAATTAATACTTACACCAAGGTCACATAAAATTTTATCAACATAAACTTCACCAATAGTGTAAGGGATAGTGAAACTCCCTGGATCTTTCAATTTTGGTGGGAGCTTTTTTTGAATTCTCGGGTTGCATTCTTTAGTTAACATCACCATCTCATGTTTCCCAAGCTTATGTTTATTTGATAAGATGTCCTTAAGGAACTTGGCGTCGCTAGGCATCTGGACTAGTGCATCGACGAATGGGATGTTTATGTGGAGCTTCTTGAAAAGCTCGAGAAACTTTTTATATTGCTGCACCATCTTCTGCTTCTTTAGCCTTTGGGGAATTGGAATGGGGGCTTATAAGGGTTGACCTAAACTGTTGCCTTATCTCGTGATGTACTGGAACCTTATTTTGGGGTAGATTCCTTTATCTGCTCATCCTGCTCCAAAGTCTTTTTTTCTGCAGGATGTGTTGTTTCCTTGTTTATACCCGACCACTTAACATGTATTTTAGGTAGTTGTACCCCACTTCGAGTCGTAATTGCCTTAGCATGCTCCTTTTGGTTGATTTCTGTGTTACTTGGCAAACTACCTGGTGCTTTGCTAGTCAAAGTAACTACCATCTATCCCATTTAAGTCTCTAGATTTTTTATGGCGGCATTTTGATCTTGAAGAGTGGCTTCAATTTTCCTCATGAATTTATTGTTGGCCTCCATGTACTGATTAGTCTTTTCCATGAATTTTCCCAACATCTCTTCCAGTTGAGGCTTTTTCTCTTGCTGTTGGTACTGACCCTGTGGCCTATTTTGATTTTGGTTGCTCCAAGAGAAATTAGGGCGCTCTTTCTAGCTCGGGTCGTATGTTTTCCCAAATGAATTGTTTTGTTGGCGTTGTTCCCATTAAGCAAAATCTGCCTGCTCCATTCCTTGTGATAAGATTGGGATTCTGTTTTTATATGTTTAACTCCACATTCCTCACAATTGACCTTCTTCGTCTGTGTTGCATGTGTTGATTGTGACATGTTTTCTACTTTACAGAATAGAGAGTCAATCTTTGTAGATAGGGTAGAATATGCTTCCATTTCATATACTCCCGATGCTTTTTCTGAACTACTCATTCTGATGTTCACGTAGCTGTGTAGTAGCCGTTGTCTTGAATAGTTTCAGTACTTCATCAATTGTTTTTGTGGACAGTGACCCATTGGATGACGAGTCAACATATTTTTAAACCTATTCCATGCTTCATCAAAGTTCTTTGAATTACCTTGATAGAAGAAAGATATATCGTGCTTCAGTTTTGCAATCTTGTCGGGCAGGAATAACTTGGTATAGAACTTCTGTGATAGATTGTTCCATGTAGTGATGCTGGCTATTGGTTGAGAGTCCAGCCATTCAATTGCTTTGTCACGCAATGTATGTGGGAATAACCTCAATCTAATATCATTGTCCGAGATCCCCTGATATTTGAAGATTGTCACATCTCCAAGAATTGAGAGACATGCGTGTGTGGATTTTCTTCACCTTTACCGTAGAATTGATATCCATTTTGAAACAGTTGTATCACATAGGTCTTCATTTGAAAGTTAGGCTGCTCAAACGATGGATACAGGATGCTTGATTGGCTTTGAATTATTTGTGGGTCATGAAGTCTCCTACAAGCATGTTGCCTTCATCCACTCCCATTTCTTCATTGGCTTGAAAGATAGGATTATTCTGTACATTGGCCATTTGTCGGTGTTGTTTTCCTTCTCTAGTTTCCCTTTGCATTCGATGAAAAGTTCGCTGAATTTCGGATCAGTTGGAATTAACTCTCCTCCAGTCAATCTTGACATGCAAATCTGTGATAAGGCCAATACTAGCACTTAGATACTAAAAATTGAATAACAAAATGAAATAAAAATAAAATAAAATAAAATAATTAATATATAAAATAATGTTTGAAATAGTGCCAAGCAAAATAAGATTAAACGGATACTCAATCCCTGGCAATGGCGCCAAAAACTTGATTATGAAATATTGATTTCAATCTAAAACCATTGCACGTGTACGATTTGTTAACAAGTAATAAAGTGAAAAACTGAGTCCGAATATCGACCCATAGAGATTGAGCAGTTTAATTTTATCTAACTCGGCCTTAACTGAAATTGATTTTTCAAATGAAAATTGTTGTAACTTAAATTAACCCTAACTTAACCTAATATGCAACTATGTATGACTCAAACGAACTAGGATGCAAAATGAATGTTTGAATGCAAGTTTGATGTAATCAATGAATATAAAGCACACTAGGATCACAAATCCACAAGCAATGCTCACTTTTAACTTTAGTTCCCCAATTTGACAACACATTGAATTTTTGAAGAATCAATGCTCCTAAATCTATCCAACAATCTCTCTTGAGTAATGTTGAACCTACTCCCATATACCACCAGCCTATATCTCCCAGGCTAAAGTTTTCCTATTGGTAATTGTTCCTTGATGTTGGGCAGTCACCCAGTTATACAAACTTCCGAATGTTACATTTTAGTCTCCGAATTCGATTCTTGATTCTTTCAAATCATTTCTCTCGCATTTTCAATCATTTGACTTTTAATTGCATCCAATGGAATCCGCAACATCTTTAATCTTCATTTTGTGGCCCGAATCAACTATTAAAATGTTACAATTTAGCCCTCATACTTTGAATTTTCCCATTTTTCTTTTCCACTTGTTTAGAATCAGGTCCATCTCTGAAATAAATGAAAATTTACCCAAATTAAGTAATAACCAACACTTTCATAGCGTAAAAGCTTAGGAATACGGTCCAAATAAGTGCACAAAATATACTTATCAGCCTTCACTAGATCTATCTCTACTTGAACTTATTTTCTCATAAATTTATATTGAATTAGTAGTTATCTTTGCTCCAGATTCTCACAGAAGATACCAATTTATTAAACTTAAAAAAGGTGATCAACAAAATTCCTCTCATCTAGCCATGATTTTTTTCCTCTATAACTCTTCGTTAAACAATTAGAGAGGAGAAAATGAATATTTTGGAGGAATATATTTTGATTTCAGCATGCCTTTCTTCATCCCAAGCATACCTATTTATAGATTTTTAGTACGGATTTGGGATAAATGGGTCTTTTTCACTTAGTGACGTGGTGGATACTAATTGATTGATTCTTAACAGATTCTATTATAGTTCACGTTTTGCTTGTCAGCTTACATGTAATTTATTTATTGGTTATGAATTTATGCTTTATATCTAATTTGTTCACGTGTGCTTTATTCATGAATGTTGCTGATGTTGAGTATTTGAATGTCATTGGTTCACCATTTTTTAATTGCGAGCTATTGCACTTGCCAATGTTTGCTTCTACTTCTTAAGGTTCACAATTAATAATATGATTCGCATATATAGGTTATGAGTTCATCAATATTTCTTTTACGAGTTTTTTCTTATTCAACAACCACTATACTTTGCATTATCCTAGGTTTAGTTTTCTAGTTTTTATTGCATTTTTACTTATTTATATCTTTCGCAGAGATATAGGATGTTCATAGGTAAAAATAGGTTTATAATCCTACTTGAGAGACATTGTGAGATAACTTACGAATATTGATTATAAATTCAAGCTAGTGGTGGTCAATATTGAGAAACTGAAAAATAATCTGGAAAAATATAGGTGAGTTAATGTCCTATTTTTTTCACATACGAGATTTTCTCCAATATTCTTATTCAAGCTTTAGTTTAAGTGAATTAGGTTTAGTTAAAAATCCAAATTTAATTTAACGTTTGCATGGTGAGTCCTTCCATTGGGATCCACTCGCTGCAAAATTAAAAGGTTAGGATTCGATTTGCTTTAAATGGAAGGATGTGACCTACTTCCTAATTCCTACATTTCCCTTAGGCTTTAATCTTTGCCATATTTCTTCTTATATACAAGTACTCGATTGCACGCACAACAAATACAAGGGACATTTTTCATATTCTCAAATATAAAAGTCTTATCAAACTTGACTAATTTATATAAACCATTGTGCTACTTTGTCAAATTGATATTATATTGATATGTACAAAACATAAAAAGATATAACATGTTCAACTGAATAAATTTGAAAATCTATATGTTGTAATAAATTAAAGTATGTGGGGTTACAACTTTTGTGATAGTATCAAAGGAAAAAAACACAAAAAACCCTTGTTCTTCCTAATAATCAATTTTGTGTACCAATAGCGTTAATTTATAAAATTACAATTAAGTACAAACACTATAATCATGTTTAACATGTTTAGTTGAAATAACTGAAAATCAATCATTATAAATAAATTAAAAAGTAGAATATAATTTGTTCAATGACCAACATTTTCAATTTTTCATCATGTTTCAAAACTACACGTTTCCCTTATCTGATTTGTGACAGCAGCCATCGAAGGTCTCCTATTAGGATACTGAAATGTACAACACAAAGCAAGCTGTAACAGCTGTACCATTTGCTCCCCTATGCCAGAAGTGTTATAGTAGCCATGTAGCACATTATCAAACACATCAATTAGGGGCTTCTCTTGAAACATGGATCTCACCCAATTGGGTAGGTCAGTACCCTTTTCCTTGACATTAAGTGCATTTGTGGGAGCTTTGCCAGTTAGAAGTTCAAAGAGAAGGACGCCAAAGCTATAAACATCGGACTTCTGAGAAACTTGGTGTGCATTTGTCACCTCGGGCGCACAATAACCAATTACGAGGTTTGGTATAGGTTTTGTGTCCGAGAAAAGTTGGGCAAGGGCATACTCGGAGAGATATGCATCAAAAGAACTGGTAAGAAAAACGTTGGATGATCGAACGTTCCCATGGAAAATGTGTTGTGAATGGAGATATTGGATAGCACTAGCAACTCTATAGGCAATGCTACACCTTACTTCCCAAGTGAGAGGAGTCTTATTTGCACCTCCATTCCCTATGTAGCATTGCAAGAACATAAATAACTCTATATACCTTTAAATCTGATACTTTTGACAGGAAAATGAATAATTATGTGGACAATGAAATTTTTTGTTCGGGCACTCTAATTCTCTACAACTTATGCACTCCATAGATCAAATCACTAGATATGATATTTAATTAAGAGATTAAAGTCAAATAAGACATAGGCATTGAATCATTTATTTTATAGCCCGAAGTCATACATGCTGAACTCATTACTAGATTTGATATTTAAAATTTAATCATCTACCGAAATTTGAGAACTAAATAAAAAAAGTTTCTCGAGTCAGATAGAATATTGCTCACGCTTTACACTTTCAACTCTTCTGAATGGTTTACAATTGTACTATTAAATTCCGGACCAAACCAAATTTGTAATTGTTCAAGTGGAAAATTAAAAAGAAACTATCTCTCCTCATGAATGTTATTTATAAGGGATATATTTGGTACATAATACTACAAAAGACAGATCAAGTTTAAAAATGAAAAAGAACTAAAAATTTTGTTTGTTCGATTGTTCAATCTTATCTAATGCTGATTATCGAGCATGCACTTGGTACCTACCTATTTTTGTGGAAACACATCTATTCCCTAAACCATTGTCCTTAATGTGACAGTGTTACACTCCAAGAAGAGTATTAGCATAGGCAGAACAATAACATTACAGTTTTCACCTAGAAAAGAATAAATTGAGAGCAAGGCTGTAATAAATTAGACCAAGATACTAATTAATGCAATACTTGCCAATGAAATATTTCAAAAGATGTAAATATAAGCTCCACCTTTTCTCTATATAACCTACGAGGGAACACCCATCTCGAAACTCAATAAAGCCATGAATATAGAAGAATTCTAACAGAACTTGTACCGACACTGATGTGGCAAAATGTGATTGGATTTTTTTCCCATCTTCCAATGATGTCGCGCCATGTGTTGTCTGTAAGATTTTTCTGTCAAAAACTTATATACCTATAGTATTGTTCCTGGAAACTTATTGCTAAAACCTCCTTTAATGTACCTTCTTAGCTTTAGCGTATGACTCATGAATTTAAACTATTTACAAGAACTTAAGTAATTTTTTGTTCACACATTTCGAAGGATCTACAAATAGTACCCACTTATTCACTATTTATTTTTATTTATTTATAACTAAAACGGTTTATAAACACTTCTCGATCGTACTTTCATTTGCCTTAAAAATCGTCCTTCTTTCAGACCTTGTTTTCCAATTTCTTAAGTTGTCTTTTCGCCCCATTCTTGCGGACAAGGTTACTTACTCCATCAATACAATGATGTATTATGATTTGCTTGATTAATATATGAGAAAAAGGGACTATTTATTTCTTCGAATGAAAAAGAAAAACATTATTAGATATGTACTTACCGTGCAAAACAAAAGCCAAGCTTCCCATGTGCATATAATCATACAGAAGAAATCTCTCATTCGGATGATAACAAAATGCTTTAAGAGGAAGCAGATTTTGATGAAGAAATTGAGATCTCAACTCTTTAACTTTCTCTATGAATTCCATCTCAGATAAACAACCAATAATCTTCAATCTCTTGACGACCACAGCATATTTTGGAACCTTGTAACTTGTTCCAAAAGTCCCCTTTCCCAACACCTCGGCCGATGATCCCAGCAACTCCTCTAGTCCATATTCTCCAGAGCCATCCTCACTAAAGAACACCAATTTACTCTCTATAACATCTGTTGGGCTCGAAGCCATCGTACAAATTCTTCTTGGACCAACTCCTCTTCTCGTCACTCTCTGTGTGCTAAATCTACTCGATGATTAAAAAAAAAAAAAAACGTCAAGATCTTAGCAATGACAATCGGCAATAGCTTTGATGGGATTTGATATTATGTGATGATCCAAAGGAGAATATACATTCATTGACTTCTTCCTTTCTTTGTGTTTTCATCAATTTAAGAATTTCCTATGCAGACAAAATGTTGCTGCATTTTGATATAGTGCCAGGGTGGAAGAAGACATTGAAATATTCTTGATTCCCACTATTTTTTTTATTTTATCTCTAAGGGTGTGTTTGATTGACATGGAAAATATTACCTAGAAAAGAAAATATTTTCCATCTTTTGTGGAAAATAAAAACCAC